AGGAGGATGATGTTGACGGTGCTAGTTGCAACAACAACAACGACAACAACTTGCAAACTTTGCAACAACAACAACAACAAAATAACGAAACCCAGGAACCAAATTCTGAAAGACAGATTCCGACACTGTTGAAAATTGAAGACTTGGACGAGACGGATTTTTTCAGCAACATCAAAAACAACGACAACAACAACAACAACATGAACATAAACTACAACAACATCAACAACAACAGCAACATCAATAATAGTATATACTACAGCCACGATAATATCAACAACAATGCATACTTCTACTACAATAACAATGACAACATCAACATCAACAACAACAACAACATATATTACAAAAACAACAACATCAGCAGCAGCAGCAACAATTTCGACAACATCATCAAAGACATTTCAAATACAATAACCAACCACACCCCCGTCTATGAAACCGAAACCAAAGTGAAAACCGAAATACTAGATTACCAACTGGTTGGTCATTAGCATAAACTTATCATTTATTTTGAATAATTTATGATAATTTATTCATATATCTGTTTGTTGTGACATATTTTTATGAAATATTAATAACAAAAATATGAAACTATTTCCACGTATCAGTCGCCTATTATAGATCCTTTCAACGCTGCCTCCATGTTTCCAGTGATGCAACAATCAGCCGGTCTCAACAGATGCAACAACTACATCAACAACAACATCAACAAAAACATCAACCTCAACATCAGCAACATCCACAACAACATCAATAGCATCAACAACATCGGCAACATCAACAAAAACATCAACAACATCAACAACAACATCATCAACAACATCAACCACAACATCAACAACAACATCAACAACAACAACAGCAACAATATAGCAGCACAACAGCAACTACACCAGCCGTCGTCGTCTTCAGCCCTCAATAACGATTTCATAGCATATTCCAGATTAATTCAGCCTTACTATCAGGTTTATTTGTCTGAATTGATTTAGTTATTTATTTATAAATTATGAAATAATTTAAAAAATTTTGAAAAAAAAATATTTGGACATTAAATTATGTTGTTCGTTTTACATGTTTAATCCATTATAACTCATTAACATATTTCAGACTCAAAACTCCAGCCAATCCGAGATCACGTTCGCCCCATCTCAACTTCAATTGGCCGAGCTAACTGCACCCACTCAGCTGCAATTGGCCGAGCTGAATACGCCCACTCAGCTGAGGTTAGCCGAACTGAGAAGGCAAATAATGACGCAAGAATCTGAACTGGAGATGGACTGCCTGAAACTTTTGCAGATGCAGAATAAGTTGAGGATGAGAAGAATGCGAAAGGTGAGTTGGCGAGGCCTAACTTAACTTCCTCTACGATTTCATACCATAGTTGTTACTCAGTGACGTCATTGTTAGCCGGTGACGTCATTGCGGTATAAATAGAAATAACTTTTTGAATATTCATTTGTTTGTCTGTGTGTTGTATATTTATTTACCCGGTTATTTATTCATTTGTTTGTTGATTATTTAAAAATTAATTGATTAATACATTTTTTAATTTTTTAAAAATCCCAATTAAAAGCCCAACAAAAAACAAGAAGAAGAAAAAGTAGAAGGAGGTGGAGGAGGAGGGGAACAACAGAATAGACAGAAACAGCAACATCGCCGGCGACAGTCCGCCCAACTTTCTAAGAGAGAACGCCAACAGTTGCTCGAGCAATACTTGTACAATCTTGCAACATCTAACAACAACAACAACATCATCAACAACAACAACAACAACATTAACCCCTTCTGCCCAACAATACCCCTTACGCCAGTCAGCAAGCGGCCCAGGGCCACACACATCGGCTGCACTACCATCAAGTACACTCGTCGCACACCAAAAAATAGTACAGTGAATGGCGCTACTAGTTGCACTGGTAGTAATAACGACAGAGGTGGTGCTGGTGGCTGTGGTGGTGGCGCTAACAACGACAACAACAGTTACGATGAAGATAACATATTGGACAGGATTTATTTCTGCGATTATCCATGTTAGTTTTCTGAGCTTGTGTGATTTCGCTTTGGCACGTGGCTGTGATTATTTTTTTCTTGTTGTCTTCGAGGTATTTTATGTTGTATGTTGTATTTGTCGTGTTAATTTGGGTATGTACCTGTTCAAGTACAACAAAAAATGTGTATTTTTGACTTTTTCAATTGAAAATACTTTAAAAAATCCCTTACTTACTCGCTTAACTACTTAAGTTCTCTATCGTTTACTCTATAACTTTTTAACTAATTAAAATTAACTAATTAAATTCTTAATTACTTGATAACTAACTTAATCATTTGAATAATTACCTACTTGTAGGTTGTATGAAAGCATATACAAAAAGCTCACATCTGAAAGCTCACAAAAGATTACACACGGGTAGGACTTCATAACTTGTAGAAATTTTTAAATTTTAAAAAATGTTTTGCCGTTATGATTACTACTAATACAGCAACTATTAATATAATATATAAATTGGTCGTTATAATTATAGTTGTTATTATTAATTATATTATTATAATTTTAATAATTATAAATTGAAAATCATAAAATCTTCTCTCTTTCTCTCTCTCTCTCTTTCATATTAACAAGGCGAGAAACCCTTCAAATGCCAGTTCGAAAATTGCGATTGGAAATTTGCAAGATCCGACGAACTAACACGACACATAAGAAAGCACACAGGTCTACAAACGAATAAATTATAGCCAATCATAATTTTATATTATATTATATAATTTTATACTATAATTATTAATTATTATATTTTTTTATTACTTAAAAGGGTCTAAGCCATTTATGTGCCCTACGTGCTTTCGCTCATTCGCCAGAACTGATCACCTGACCTTACATCAAAAACGTCATAGGTCGTAATGCTGACCAATAGGAAAAGTTCATTTATATCCGTCGACCAATTAGAGTTAAGTATTTTTATTGGTCATTTAGTTATAGTTAAGCGTTTTATTTGGTTTTCCAATCACAGTTAAGGAATTTGTTTGGTTGTCCAATCATATTTAAGATCAATACCTCATTTAGTATTTTCAGCCTTCATCATTTTCTATTATTTTGTGATGAATCTAAGTGTACCAACGAATCAAGTTTTTTCCATTTTTGAAAATTTTTTTTTGAGTTTTTGAATTTATTTACATAATAAAATCACATATTTTTCCCCTTTTTGGTATACTCATAACCTTGTTAATCATCTACACTTACGTACATCTGATCATTTGCATCATAATGCATTCGTTACAGTCTTAAATTCAGTCAAAACGTTCAGTCATTCAATTGTTCTCTTTTTTTCTGATTTTTATTTTATAAAATGTGTGTCTATACCGTCATAAAGTCAATTTTTAATTCTTTCTTTTCTTATTTTTCGCAATTTTTGAAGAAAACCTCAAAAATAAAAAGTCCAGAGAACATTTTTTTTTGTTCGAATAAAGATTTGAGTGCGGCATTAAAGCCATTAGTTTCTGTTCTTTTGTTTCCAATGAATTTCTTTGGAAATAATAATTATTATTGTTACAATATGAATAATAATTATTATTATTATTAATGTTGTTCTTCTTCTTGTTAGATTTCATTAAAAATTAGCATTGAATAAAGAAATAAAAACAGACTTCGGTGTTAGATTTAAAAAATTTTTATTAAAAAGCTCTGAAATTTTATGAAAAAAAAAACAAAAATTACTCAATAAAACATCAAAAAGTTGTAAAAAAAAATACGGAGCCATAAAGTAAACGCTAGTAAAATATAAAAATGAAAAGTTACTGAAAAAGTACTTTAAAAAAATTAATATGGTCTCTTCATGCGTCGGAAGGATTTGGAAACTGAAACACAAAAACCATCTTCGTATTAATACTTTGGCTATCTCTATTATCAGCAGTAGTTAGTTGTAGTGGTAGCAGTGGTTAGTTGTAGTTTGTAGTAGTAGTAGAAGTAGTAGTAGTAGAAGTAGTAGCAGTAGTAGCATCAGTAGTTGGTAGTAGTTAGTAATAGTAGCAGTAGTAGAAGTAGTAAAAACACTAAAAGTTTGCTCAACAACAAAAATGATTTTTTTACCATCAGTAATAATTGGGCGTCAAAACAACATACACTTACAATACAAAAATACTTAACATTATTTATAGTAGAGAGAGAGAGAGAGAGAGAGAGAGAGAGAGAGAGAGAGAGTGAGAGAGAGAGAGAGAGACAGACAGACAGAAAGTAACAGAAAAAGAGAAGATTTCAAAATATAAAATATAGCATGTATTTCGGATTTATTCCATACTAAAAAAAAAATTACGAACTAAATTAAGATGACGATGATGATGACGACGATGATGATGACGATGATGATGACGACGATGATGATGACGACGATGATGATGGAAATGATGAGGATGGTGATGTCGGGCGTTGTTTTATAAATAGAAACACAAGGGATATAAGGTTAGTTATTAGGCAGACGAAAAAAGTTGTACAAATTAAAACAAAATTTTGAAGCAAATACATAATTGCACTATAAACTGTGTATAGAAATCTGTCCATATCTATGAATAATTATCTATCTATCTGTATACATATATAATTATTTATGTATGTATGTGTGCGTGTGTGTTCGTGTATGTGTATATATTACATAGATCTAATCTAAGACACTTTGTAATGGCATTAATATATCAAAGAGGATTTGAAAGATAAAAAATATATTTGCGGCGGTTGATTCGTCGTTCATTCGTTCATTTGTTCAGTCAGTTAATCGTTATTTCATTCATTTATTCACTCATTCAATCAGTCAAACGATCAATAGTTATTAATTTCACATTTGCACATTTTTACGCAAATGCTTTAAACGTTTATATTGATTTCCCTTATGAATAACATTTATTATACTTGTTAGACTATCTCTCACTCATTCATTCATTCACAATTTACTTTATTCATTCATCCATCCATCCATTCATCCATTTATGAATTGATTCACTTCTTCTTTCTATCCGATTTCTTCTTTGATTTAAAAAAGCCAGTAACTTTTTGGGCTTTAGTAGAACATTCAACATTCTCGACATTTTTGTCACCGTCTTTAGAAACTTCTGCCAATGAAACTGTGTTGCTGTTGTTGTTGTTGTAACTGCTGTTGCTGTTGTTGTTGTTACTACTCGTAGAAGTATTCATATTATTAGTAGTAGCAGCAGCAGAACTTGTAGTTGCAGTAGCAGTACTAGAGGTTGCAGTAGCAGATGTTGAGGTATTGACAGTGGTACTTGTTACCGTAATACGAGTAGCGACTGCACTAGCCACAACAGCAAAAGCAGTAGTAGCACTGGTCGCAGTAGTAGTACTAGCGGCAGTAGTAATAGGGGTAGTAGCTGAGGTAGCAGTATCAACTACAGAAGTTTTTTCCTCAGAGTCGGATTTCGTTTCGAGCATTGCTTGGGACAGCTTCTTGGCTGAATCATCTTTTACATTTATGCTGTCTTTAGTAATGTTATTGTTATTATTGTTATTATTACTATTATTATTATTGTTGTTGCTGTTGCTGCTGTCTTCGTCACATCTGACGTCACCCTTCGTATCAGCTGCATAGATGTTTGAAACTTTATTCTTGGCAAGGGCATTAATCGCTCCGACAACATTCTTCAACTTTCCAAGATTTCTAGCGACCACAATGTTGGCAGGGCTCAGGGTGAGAACGCTTTGGTCCTCCCCCTCATCAACCAGCCTGCCCTTTATAAATCCTCTCTTGAGGGCCTCCCCAATGGAGACCCTCTCCCCCCCACGCGAGTCAACAAAACAACCGTGGTCGATGTCGATGATTCCGAGTTGAACCGCCTCCGAAAAAGTGATGGTCTTCTTACTCTGAGTATCGACAACAGCTCGGACCAAATAGTTTCGAGTTTCGTATTCGTTCGCGTCAAGCGAGTCGGCGTTTTGCTTCCGGACAATCTCAGCTTGTATCCAGCCGACCTCAACCGCCTCTTCAATCGGGATTTCATCGTCATCTCCGATTTTGAACTTCTCCTTTCTCAGCCACCCTCTCTTGGTGGCTTCTTCGACGGTCAGTCTTTCAGCGGTCAGTGGGTCGATGGCACCTAGCAGTCGGTACTCTTTAGTCGTATCCTCGCCGACCAGCGACTTCACAGTGATCATCCCTGAAATGTTTGCAGATGACGTGGCAGAGCAAAACACGACTACCGATCACAATGACGATTCGTCAATTAAAAATGACGCCAACGATAAGTCAACAAACGACTACAACAATAACGAAAAAGCAACAGCCAACCACCCACCCAGCTCCTCAACTTTTGGCTTCGATGCGGTCTCTGTGACGGCCTCCACCCTGATCAACCCTTCACTCATGGCCGTCGGGATAGGCCTAGTTGCTTTCGTCATGGGATCCACGTACAGTCCATGGTTGACATCCAGGATTCCGTACTGTATGGCCTCGTCCAGAGAGATCTGCCCTCATTAGCATAATTTATTCATGCTTTTGTATAATGTAGTGATTTATTCATGACTCGTTAATAATCAATTTCAATCCGACATTTTTCTCAATCAACCAACCAATCAACCAACCAATCAACCAACCGACCAACCAACCAACTTACATCATTTCCGTTTCTAGGATCTTTGATTGATCTTATGATGAACTTCTGCCTCACTTCCTGCGATGATGACGTCAATTGTTCGGACTCAACTCTGATTGGTCGGTCGGTTGGTTGGTTGGTTGAGGTGTAAGTAATTGAAAGGTAAAATGGTTGATTAATTGACTGGTTAGTTGATTGATTGATTGATTGATTGATTGATTGATTGATTGATTGATTGATTGATTAATTGGAAGGTTGGCTAAATGGCAGACAGACAGACAGACAAACTTGGTTTGTTTCTCGGCACTATGATGCCCCCGACGATGATGATGATGATCTTGAGTTGATGAGGATGATGATGATGGGTAATGTAAAATTTCTTCAACTGTTTCCACTGATTCTATTACAATCTTCGTCTTGTAGTACCTGTGTGTGGATGCAGGCAGGCAGGTATGGGTATGCGTTTGTGTATGTGCGTGTATGTGTTTGTCTGCTTCTGCGCGTGTGTGTGCGCATGCATGTGTGTGTGTGTGTGTGTGTGTGTGTGTGTGTGTGTGTGTGTGTCTACGTATGTGTGTGTGTAAAACATGACGATGATGAAGATAGTAATGAAAAAAAAACGGACTTGACTGGTTTCGAACCCGAGACCTGTGACTTGAACTCAGCAAGTCTGTCAAAAATGCATATGGGTCTCGACTTTTTACCATCATCTGATTTGCTTCGGAATGCTTTGAACATTTTCTCAAAAGTCTGTTTTAATTGAGTGAACGAATGAATGATTATGAGAATAAATAAATGTATGAATGAATGAATGTATGAATGAATGAACGAATGAATGAATGAATGAATGAATGAATGAATGAATGAATGAATGAATGAATGAATGAAAAAGTGAGTGAGTGGGTGAAAATGATAAAAATGGATGAGAGATCATGCTGAAATTAGAAATCTTGGCAACATTGCCGTAACTTTTCAACAAAATTACGTATTCATTCATTGAATTATTCATTCATTGAATTATTCATTCATTCATTCATCCGTGCATGCATTCATTCTTTCATTCCATAGACCGACCAAATATCCTCTGTAAGCCCGACTCAACTTGGAAACCATCTGAACATCTTCTTCATGTATGACGTAGTTGTCACCATCCTCATCATCGTCCCCAGTGCCCTTGACCTTGCCAGGGGTACCCTTGACCTTGTCAGAGGTCAAGGCTGCTGTTGGTTTGGCGTAGTCGTACTCGAGTCTTAGAATCAGTTTGCGGAGTATTTTTAGATCTTTCGATGTTTTCGGGCCGTTTGATTGGTCGGGAAGGTTGGGGCATTTGTATTTCTGAGTGAACGAAGGAACGAACGAACGAAGGAACGAAGAAATGAACGAACGAACGAACGAACGAATGAATGAATAAATGAATGAATATGAATGAATGAATGAACGAACGAATGAACAAATGAACGAACGAACGAATGAATGAATGAACGAATGAATGAACGAACGAACGAACGAACAAACGAACGAACGAACGAATGAATGAATGAATGAATAGCAACAACAACCAACCAAAAACTCGAGAATTAATAGGATGAGTTTGAAAAGTTGACGAAAAAACAAGCGAAAGCACTCGAACCACGAGCACAATAATTGAACTTTCAATCTATAAATGAATAAAAGAATGAATGACTGAACGATTGATTAAGAGAATAAATAAAAGAATGAATGAATGAACGACCGAAGAAATGAATGATAGAACGAAGATAAATTAATGAATGAATGAAATAACGGATGGACAAATTTGTTCGCGCTAAATCGCTTGTTAAATCAACCATGCATCCAATCCATCCATCTATTCATTCATTCATTCATTCACTCATGCATTCATTCGCTCATTCATTCATTCATTTTCAAGCCTTTCAATGAGAGCATTCAAATCGGAATCACTGCTAGGAATGATGAGACATAGTATTGGAATCGTGCCCTCGCGCTCTTGGCCGACCTTCACCTTCACGATGATGATGATGGTGATGATGAAGATGGAGATAAAATGGTGATGGAAAAGACGGCGAACCAAAATGGTGAAATTGATGATGACGATGAAACAAACGATGATGATGATGATGATGATGACGTAGATGACAACAACAACAACAATAATAACAACAACAACAACAGCCGAACCTTAATAACATTGCTCTGTGTTTTGTCAATTATTTCAATTTGATCTCCCTCCAGAATTGAGAACTGCAATTCATAATACTTTCATCTCTTACCCTTCGTCGTCATCATTTTCGTCATCGTCGTCGTCATCGTCATCATCAAAGTCATCAACACCACACCACCACCAAAACCAACATCTTGATACTTGAGAGAACAAGGTGCCCTGAGAGAAGACAGTCCGGTGGATTTGACAGTTAGGGGCGGTAGGGATGTAACTTTCGACTCGATCACCCCCAGACGTTCGTTCAACGATTTGAAAGTTTTAACTGTCGTCTGTCGTGCAACCGGCAACAACATCAACAACAACATCAACAAACAACAACAACATCAACAAACAACATCAACAACAATACCAACAACAACATCAACAAACAACAACATCAACAAACAACATCAACAACAACATCAACAACAACATCAACAAACAACATCAACAAACAACATCAACAAACAACATCAACAAACAACATCAACAAACAACATCAACAACAACATCAACAACAACATCAACAAACAACATCAACAACAACATCAACAACAACATCAACAAACAACATCAACAAACAACATCAACAAACAACATCAACAAACAACATCAACAACAACATCAACAACAACATCAACAACAACATCAACAACAACATCAACAAACAACATCAACAAACAACATCAACAAACAACATCAACAAACAACATCAACAAACAACATCAACAACAACATCAACAACAACATCAACAAACAACATCAACAACAACATCAACAAACAACATCAACAAACAACATCAACAAACAACATCAACAAACAACATCAACAAACAACAAACAGCATTAGCATCATCATCATCATCATCATCAACAAAAACATCATAACTCGCACGGACCTCAACAACACTATATAAGGAATCTATCCTCCTCTCTATAATCGATCTATCCACCGGTGACGACGATGATGATAGTGATGACAGCGATGATGATGATGATGATGACGATGGCGGTGCTGATGATGATGATGGTGGCGTCGCCGATGATGATGATTCTTTAATAGTCTTCTTAACTCTGAATGACACCGAAGAAATTTCATGCTCCAGATTTACAGCATCCAGGCAAAACTGATGATGATGATGATTGTGATGATGACGATTGTGATGATGATGATGATGACGATTGTGATGATGATGACGATTGTGATGA